TATAGTCCATTCAGCAGGAACAAGTTACGCTGAGAAAACAGTCATTCAAATTTTGTAAGATTCTTCTTCGTAAAAAGCTCAGCAATTCTTATTTATTTCCACAGTTGCTAAAAGTGCAGCTCCAGAAATGGGAATTCAACCAGTGCAGCTTCCTGAGATACAAGAGACCCAAGAAGCTGAGCCAGTCTATCAGGACTACTCATCTCAACAGCAAGTAGCTGGACAGGATTATGCTTATGAAACATATGACTTTCCAGCTGATGGAGAAGCCTTTCAAGGGAATGTTCAATCCATATCTCCAGTAGAAACAAGTGCATTGTCCCCAGGTTTCAAAGCTGCTTCAGAGCCCCAAAATCCAACACCTTCTCTCCAGGCTCCATCATCAGCAGCATTTCCTCCAGCAACAGCTCCACTTGCACCAAGGCCTCCATCACCTGCTCCACTGGCACCAATAAGACCTCAATCACCACCAGCACCTGCTCCAATGGCACCAAAGCCTTCTGCTGTGATGAGAGCCCCAGCTCCTCCTGTAGCCCCTGCCTATGCAGCACCAAAACAACCCAGCCATGATTATTATCAACAATCTTACCCATATTATCAAGCACCTGCAAAACCCACAACGACAACAACTACAACCACTACAGCAAAACCAACCACCACCACAACTACACCCAAACCAACAGAGGCACCAAAACCCAAAGAACTTGAAGGACCCAGAGATCTCCACTATTACAAATACAAGCCCCGGTATCACAACAAGTTTCATGGCAAATTTCACAATCACGGTCACCATCAAAAGCAATTTAGAGGTAGGTTCAAGCAGGGTCACAGGGGTCATCGCAATAAATTCAGAAAAAATAAGGGACATCATCATGGTCACTTTCACCAACACTTCAGCAGTGATGCAGAGGTGAGACATTTCTTTATTTATTTCAGAGAGTGTTACTGTATATGCAGATCTGAGCTGAAAACATTTTTCCAGTCATTAATATTGAAAATTTTGTTACAACAAATTTGTTATAACAAACTTTTTCTGTCGTCCCAAAAGTTTGTTGTAACAAGATTTCACTGTATTCAGATACATAAACTTCAACAATGATGCAGATATTAACCTTATTTACTCAAGTACCTTGCGCATCTTTTTCATAAGAAATTGAAAAGCAAAAATAGGGTGTGCATGATACTCAGGGATGACTTTTTCTTAGGAAATAATTCCAAAAATGGTGTTTGTCACATCTGGATAATTTTAGGAGAACAACGAAAAGGAAATGTGTTGCACCAAGTCTCCTTATTCGCAGAAGAAATTGATTGTTGAAGCTATAACAATAGTATAGGAAGATTACTAGGATAAATTGTTTCTCCAATAACCTCTTCAGTTGGAGATGCAACAGAATATGAAGGTTTGGGAAAATTTTTATCTAATGGAGGAAGCTACCCTTAACCTTTGGACAGCAGAGGGTTATTTTTTGTTATTTAGTGTTGTTGGGATTTTTTGGATGTGGTGTATTTTAGTTTGACCAAGGTCACTGGAATGCTCCCATAGCAGGCTGAGAAGTCCCAAGTTGGGGAAAATGTGGGAGGCCAATTTTTTATTGTTTTCAGGATTCTCCCATGCAAATCCTATTTCTGGCATGTAGGAAAGAATGCCACCCATTATGGGATTCTTTTTATTATTTTTCATTAGCAATTCTCTGCAGGATTATATAAAAAATATTGGAGTTTTTCCCAACTTATAGGCATGGGTACAAAAGTAGGATTATTTTAATTTATAGTGCTCAGTGGCACACATTATGAAAAATATCCCAACTTTTTTGCACAAGGATTAAATGCAAACACATTTTTATTGCAAAATGTAGATAATAAAAAGCAGGAATGACCAAATATCAAGTTTTATGGACATTCTCTGCCAATAAAAATTGGGATGTGGGTCTTGAAAAAGGAGATAGGTTTTTGGAAAAATTTGTCCTGCAAAAATGGGGAGGCGCTCCTCATAGACGGCATGTGGCACTTGAGTGAATACAGTATAAGCTGAATTTTATGTTTTTTTTTTAACAGGACTATGGAAACTATGGCTACAGACAGCCTCACCCAAGCACCACACAAGCTCCTCCCCCTCCACCTCCGCCACCACCACCACCACCACCTCCTCCACCACCACCACCACCAGCAAAACCTGTCAAGTTGGCCCAGATTCCAGATGGATTTCCCACAATTCCACCACCAAAGACTTATTGGCAAGTGGTGGATGACCCTTTCACACTGCCTTTGCACCATCACCCATGGTTGTACCAGCATGTGGATGAGCCTTTTCCTGCTCTTTCTCTGCAATATGACTACAGACCAAGAACTAAATATGATAAGAAACATGGCAAAAAGACCTTTTGGAAGTTGCTAAAACTTGCATGGCAGCAACCATACCATGGAGTGAGGAAGCCACCTCCACCAAAGCCAAAACCATCTACCCCTGCTCCCTGTAACCCCACAACCACCACAACTACCACCAGTACAACACAGAAGACTCCAAGTTATGAGTATGGTGCACCAAGTTATGAATATGACATTACAGGACCAAGGCATCCACATATGCGCCCTATCCCAGTGGAAAATCCACCTCCACTTTCAAGCTATGATTATGAAATCCCAGCACCAAAACACCCTAAACTAGTACCTAAACCACCTCCACCTCCATCAAACTATGGTTATGACACCCCAGCACCAAAGCACCCAACACCATCAGTCAAGCAACCTTCACCAATAGCCAAACCACCCCCACCCCCATCAAACTATGGCTATGAAACCCCTGCACCAAAGCCACCAGCAGTCAAGCCTCCTGCACCACTGGCTAAATCACCTCCACCACCAAGCTATGGTTATCACTCTCCACCAGCAGAAGCCAAGGATGCTGGCAGTTATCAACAACCTGTTCAACCAGCTAAAAATCCAGTGAAAAAAGAACCCCCTGCAGCCCAAAGGCCAGTTGCAGGATACAATGCCTTCCCTCCATCATCACAAGCACCGCCTCAAAAGAAAGGACCACCATCACAAAAGGCTGGTTTCCTAAACTCCAATGCACCCATTAACCCCTTGTATGGTGAAGAAGCCAATGCTGACTTTGGTGGGGAGCAACTGAAAGAAGCCTATGGGTTTCAACCTCAGTTCCCTGATGATTGGCAACAGGATGCAGCTGGAGATGTTTTGGCTTATTATGGACCAACCCTGGAAGCTGAGGTTGATGCCACTCTTGTTCCTGTTCAAGGTGAATCCAAAGAAGCTAGCCATCAAAATAATTTGTTTTTGCCAAACTCATAAAACGATACAGCAGGTGCTACATTGCTATTTGACCTCCTGCAAGTTGACTGGCTTCAGCAACTTTTCTGATGGTGTTCTTGTGCTGCTCTTACTTAATTCAAAACATTGTCTCACAATTTGACTTTTTTGTCATAGTCCAGCGTCATATTAGGCTCAAATTTCAGGGTTTCATCTGCATTTGTTATTACGGTTAATTCTTCAGCATGTGATCATTGCATTTACCATACTGTACATATGATAAATCTGAAACTTGTACTTGGAAAGTTATATAGGGACACAAAATACTGCATTACTTTTTTTAATTTTCTGCAATAAGATTTTGATGATCCCTGATTTAGAAATTTTAGGGTTACCCCTTTGAGTTGATTAGTTTCCTAATTAAAGAAAAGCAATTTTCAAGCAAATATGTTTCCTTGAATACAAGCATGTGTTTTGGCATTCAGGCCAAAGGTAAGAATAACATTCCTCATGCAAGAAATAAGAACAAAATTCAATGTCTAGAATAATCTACTCATCAAACTATAGTCTGTGATTTCATTCAAATGCAATTTTTACAATTTCTACAGGTGGCATGAAAAATGGAAAACAAAGAAGACGATTTTTCCATAATCTTCGCCGGCAGCAACAGCAGCAAATGGATGAAGAGCAGCAGTGATGACATTTTGTTATTATTAAAACACGTTGTTATTTGTTTTCTTCTGAAATAAAACCGATGCTATTTTTGCCTATATGCACGAATTTCATCAAAATCATTATACAGGATAATGCTGTGGACTTGGATGATATCAATTTTTACACATCACATGTATTCAGGCTTCTACAATAATGTTTGCTGCGATTTTTGCACCCTATATGCTTTGGACATTGCACTTATCGATAAGTTATTTTCTTCCAAAAATTGTACTTTCTAGGTGGTGAAATGTGTCTACATCAGCATTCATATCAAGTTATAGAATCCTTCTAACCTCGTGTATTTTTGAGATTTCCCTCTTTTGCATGAGCAATTTTGAGTTTTTTTACGTTCATTGAAGCGATTGTCCACGAAAAATATTTATTAATTTCCGATAGAAATTAAAATGTATCACCTTTGGGCATTGGAATCAATCGACGATTCCAAGCATTTCAAATTTACCGGTGGATTAACGATTTACTTTTTTCAGATCGCATCAATTAATTGGCTCCCTGGAAAATGGATTTAATCCATCAATTGAATCACTTGCGCTTTAATTCACTTGCTTTAATTCTTTTGACTATCATATTTAATCGAGTAACACCTGTCCCTTTGCTGCTGTCGGGGTTCAGTCAAAATTTTGATGAAGTTTTAAGCAAAATGCACACGTTCCACTTCGGCAACACCAAACATTGAATGTGGGTATTTTGAAGCTAAGAAAATTTAAATTTGAATTGAGTAATCGATTGAACTTGAAATCAGTTATTGTTCGATTGCTCTGATTAAAAAAATGTTCCATTAAACGCGGTACGAAATTTATCATTAAACCAAAGTCTTATACGCCAACCGTTACTTCTAATTTTTTTCTTTTTAATCTATGCCCATGTACTGTATAACTTAAACACACGGGCTTTCTACGTTTGAATTCGAGAAAAAAATCCTCTGAAAGTTCACCCACAGGAATTCAATACATGTTTGCAGTTTATTAGGGAAAATGTTTCAAAAATGAGGCACATCAAAATTGTAATAAATTCCAGGAACATATTGTATTTCAGCCGCAGGATGAAGTTCTTGAAATTCTCCTCAGTTGCGATTCCGAAGAAAGGACAAAAGGCGAGTTAATTATAAGCAAGCAATCTCCGAATAATTTGCGCACAGAAAAAAGTGTTTGCAATTCGAAGGAGAACCTCCAGCAACAGCACTGATAAAATATTTTTTTTTTTCGATTGGTCATCGAATCATCAGTCAACCGAATCGGAATAAAAAAACAAAACGAAACAAGAGGGAAGAAACAAATTATTCGTCCGACAACGACGAAACTTTTCGAAAAACATGCACAAAAAAAACACACAAAATTTGAAAGTGATGGAACGAAACGCAACAACGTCCTCTTTTGAAATTTTTCTTCAACAACGAAAACATACGCGAAATATTTGCCAAACTTGTCGGTCAAACATTTCTTGTTTTAAAACGCGTGAGTTAGGATCAAATATAACGAAACGCAAATTTTTCTTCTCTTTTTCTTTTTGCAAAACCGAGACCAGGAGCAGGCTTGGAAAATTTACAGCTGCACCAATAAAACAGCTTCAGTTACTTTTCCTCCTTATATGTACAAAATAAAAAGAAAATTTTCCGCATAAGATTTTTTTCCTTCCTTTTTTCCGATTTGTTCTTTTTTTTATGTTATCGACTAGGCTTTTCCACCCAAAAAAAAATTGCATGGTTTCTTTTAGCTGCGAACGCTGATCTAAAAAGCTTTCATGATACACATGTGCTGAATTCGACGCTCAAGAAAAAGTTGATTTCGACATGCCGGAAAACAAAAGGAAATATCTGATCAAACCTTGGACTCGAAAAAGGAAAGAATCTAAAACAAAAATGCGAGCCTCTCGTCTGCAAAAATGAGAGAAGAAGGTCTTCCGTATCAGCTTCCCATCATCAGGATCATGTGTTCTCCATCAATGGTGCTCACCAGAAGCCGCCAGACGATTTCCCTCCGGGTGGATTGTGAACTTTAATCGTAGAGCGCCTCGGGGTGTCGTCGTCAATTTGCGCGCCTGAAATTGATAATAATAAATCATTTTTTAGGGAAAACTACCTCAATTAATACAGTTCCCTATTTAATCACTTTCACCCCGAAATTCAGCTCTTTTGTTTGTGTAGGGATTTCCAGCAGGAAAATTTATTTCATTTCGGCAAAAAATGGTCCAGCTAAACTGATCTGGATTTTTAAAAATCCCATGCATTGCATAATTGAAAAGAATTACACAAGCTTGAGTTTACGCATGGAGGATCCCATTTTGTTTTCAACAAGATCCTCAATATATATATGCTAAAACCTTGAAAAATCATCCAAGGTTTCCTGTCCTGCTCAGTTTTACGAGCAAGAGAAACAAATGGTACTTGAAATTTTTTGAAGAAAACACAAGTTGGCATTTCTCTTAATTGCACTTCAGAAAAATATTCACATGCTGAAATAAATTATTTCAATTTTCTCATTCTAAGAAACCTTCTCTTCAAGCCCACCTTTCTAATTTTTGTTGTTGAAAACATTCCACTATATATGCCTGCTTCATTGGATCTTAATTTTTGGAAATAAGCACCGACTTTTCAAATGCTTGCCATAAAGCTTTCTGCAAAAAGGATACATAACTTTGCCAGTCTGCATAAAGTGTTAGGGAAATTTGCCAGTCCGCAAAAAAAAAAAAATTGGGACAATTCGCAGGTCTGCGGGTCCAAAAAGGTTGGGGAACGCTGTCTTGAGCCATTTGAACTTCAAACAATTTTCAAAGATTTTTGTGAAATTCACATTTGTTTCCCACAGATTGTCCTCATGTCGGGGCCCCCGACTGCAATATATATATATAGAGAGTCGAGAGTTATACAATAGCTAAGAGCCTCACCGGAAACCGAGAAAGTAGAGTCCTGCATGTTGATGCTGCCAGCAGCAGTGGCGCCTCGCAGATGGAATCCGTCGCCCTGCGCGGAATTAGCCGACCCCGGCGGCGACTTGTACTCGCCCGACACCTTGCGACTGCCGCCACCGCCGTTGGTCAAGCTCAGGCCGTTGACGCCAGATGTCACCTCTCCGACGACACTTCCGTTCCCGTTGGCGTGATGATGATGATGATGATGACCGTTGCTGGAAGGCGACGTTGCTCCATTATTGCTGGTGACGGACGCCACAAACGGCGCCGGTTCCATCACGGACTTGATGCTGCTCACCGGCGGCGCTCCGGGCTCGTAGGCGTCTCTGTCGACTTTCCGCGGGAATCGCACCTGATGATGATTCATTCAGGCGGGAAGAAAAGAAGAAATAATAAACTTGAACAACTTTTATTCCACAATCAGGAATACGCCCAAGATTTTCTGAATTCCATGCTAAAATAATTTCCCTTTGCTGTACTGAAGGACATACAGTAACATCTCTTTACAATGAACTTTCAGGGCCTTAAAAACTTCTCTCTCTCTCTCTTTTACACTGTGATGAATAATTAATTATAGCTAGACTCTTTCAAAATGAATGAATGATTGGAAAAATTTTCACATTGATCTATTGTCAATAAGATTTTGCTGTTGTCATCATATATTTAGTGAGTCCCAGAGCAGGCTAATAATACCCCATTCTCATTCTGACTTTTGTGCTCTGTGGTCTGCCTAGCAATGCACCGGAATTGGCATACCAGAACATTGCAACATTGTCTGGTGACCAGTCATTCACGTGTCCCAGCTTCCTTTCTATGCTTTCTGTTCATGCGTGGTCAGTCACCTGTCTTGTGCATCTGGAATCTATAAAGGAGTGTCCAAACACTCTTTTGGCGCTCATTGCCGGTTTGGACTGTATTGCGAGTACAGTATACAAAATATATACGTAATCACTTATCAGACAAGTAGACTTACTTGCTTTACCCCAGCCATAAATACTAGTACTTCTTGACAAGTTGTTCCAACAAGAAATCATCAGATTAGAATGATGGGTTACTAGGCAAAGAAGACATTCAATGCGTAATCTTGTGTTTTTTTAATCATATCCTACAGTTTTGGATAACAATGTTCTGGCATACCCACATTTTCTATGATTGGTTTTACAAACAGCAATCTTATAGAAAAAAATTGCAATGAATCCTGAAAGTTGAAAAAAATGTGCTCAATTTACTCAAAATTTTTGATCAACGACCCTTGGAAATGTTCAACAAAAAAATAAGCCTCTCTAAATGAAAAGCTTTCTCTCTCTCTCTCAAACATCCATAGAACTCCAATTTCCTGGAGACCTCCTGGATATCATTTATTGACACCGTGAAAAGAAAAACACTAAAACTGAGTATCTTAAACTGAGTATGTGTTTTGAAAGAAAGTGGAAGACAACTTTGGCAAATGAACTCTGCAACTCCAATAAGTTCTGCATCTTGCCAACTCATTCAAAGCCCAGAATAACAGCTATCAAAATTTCTAGCAATTTTTCTTTATCTAAAAAAAATGCTGGTTTCCCTCCCTCAAAACCTGGGTCAATTCAAATTCTATAGCTGGTCTCTTGAAATTCGACTTCAAGAGGTTCGACTGTACTTCTTGATGATGATGCGGAGAAAAACTTCCGTCATCCGTTTTCTTCGAATATATGACGGAAACGACTCCACACCCGAAAGAGAAAATAACTACACATTCTTACAGCACAGCAGAAACAAATAATAATAATAAAGATTTCGTACCTTTTCGCGCTCGTGAACTCTGAGATAAATGTGCGGCGAGTAAGGCGGAGTG